CCACACACCCTTTAAGTCCATTGCATCTGTTGAGCTTAGAAGGATTTTTGTATGTCATTAGGTACATCGTACCACAGTGTTAGCCGCCCTGAGCCCGTTTGCGGGATGGGCGGGATATAAATATAATTAATAATAAATAAATAAATAAATTTAATCTTAATTTCTCAGTACTTGTGTCTTAACCAGTCATAAAAGGCCCTCCATGGTCCCATAAATTCTTCTTCCATTTCACCTTTTAATATATCTGTCCATTTTTCTATTTTGGCACAATCCATAATCTTCATTATTAACTCATAAAGCGTTGGGGTTTTCAATGTCCTCCATGTCGTTGCAAATAATATTCTGGCTTCTGTTATAACATGTATAATAAAGTGTCTGTGGTTCTTATCTAAGTCATCTGGTAAACAGTTTAACAGGAATATCTCTGGTTTAAAAGGTATTGCAATATTCAACACTAACTGTAAGAGAGTATGTACTCCAATATTTATGAAACTTTTTACATGTCCACCACATATGATAGTATGATCACCATTTTGCTCGCTTGTGTGTTCTTGTTGTTTCGGGGGATTTCCCCCTGTTCCGTGCATGTTTTGTTCCTCTCTAGTGGTCAATTCAATATTACATATGTTTATGTACGGCATTAAAACCTGCAGTTTAAATCTGCTTGGAGATATGCCAGACATAAAGCAATGTAATATAGAGTCAACCACTAGAGGGAGAGAAATACGTGTGGAATGCAACAGAAACTCACAAGTGAGGAAACTGAGAATGCAGAAAAGCCCTTGGTAAGGAAAAAACAACACATGTAGTATGGATTTTTGTCTTCCCTCCCTACTGGAACTTAGAAATCCTTCCTAAGATATCATTATCAGGGGGAAAAGAGTGACCCTCCTCTACTTACTATTCCCCCTTTCCAAACTGCCCCACCAGCAGGTATCGTAATAGAACTTAAAGTTTAGAGAGGTTCCCTTACAATTTACCAAGTCACAGAACTGATAATTTGTGGACGTGCCCTAAGATGACATGACTTTAGTTGTTCTCTGGACAAGGCTTAGAAATTGCTGTGCAAGATGTGTTATTTGCTGTTTAGATGAAAGGTGTTTTAAGCCAAGATCTCGGAATTACAGCTGGTCTCCAAATTATAGAGATCGGTTCCTCTGGAGAAAATGGCTGCTTTGGAAGGTGGACTCTGTGGCCCTAGACCTCCCAAGGTCCCTCCCCAAACCCCGCCCTCCACAGGCTTCACCCCCCAAACCTCCAGGAATTTCCCAGCCCGGAGCTGGCCACCCTAGTTCACTCTCTCCTCCTCTCACGCCAAACCAAACTTTGTTTGATTTGACATCTGAAAGCAGCCCAAACTTGGCTTCTTCCTACCTAGTGTTCAGAAGAACAAGACTATGCTTTATCTTGCATTTCCTTCCTTTGTTCTGTCCACCAGCACTGGAAAATAGGTGTAAAAGTTCTGAGAAGAAGGCAGAGAGTCTCTTGAAGGAGAAGAAGAGGCTGGAATCCGAACTGGAAACAGTGTCTAAGAAAACCCATGACGCTTCTGGACAGCTGGTCCTGATCAGCCAGGAGCTACTCAAAAAGGAAAGGTCAGTTTTTTCCAACCTCTGTCTCCTCCTCCCTGCCCATCTCAGGGATAAAATATGGCATATTTAGTGCTGGCAAAAGGAGCGATCTGCACATCAGGAACTCAGATCCTCAGTTGTTGTATACATTAGATCCCATGTCAAAAATGAAGTCAAATGAGGAGGAAGTTCTATGTTTTATTTCAATTAACAGAAAAACAATTGGACCAAATAGTCCATCCAAAAATGACTACTTTATTTTCAGCATATTTAGGAAATAGGCTTCAATTAATAGGAAAACAATTAGACCCAATAGCTAAACAAAAATTGACAACTTTCTTCTTTTTCTTCATCTTCTTGGCCATATTCTGAACATATTCAGGAAATACATAATATTTTATACATGGACTGACATCATCAAGAAAACAATATTCAAACAGCATAATTGGTTACAAAAGACAGTAGTAATTTGAGTAATCCTCTGATTGGCCAGATATAAAGAAACATTTATTTATGCCAAACTAAGTGTTTACTTAACCTAACCTAAATGATAATGGGCAAGGATTCTTCATATCCCAAACAAAAGTATTCATGACTGATATGAGACTAAAATCTTATCTGACCCAGACATTGAAAGATTTGCCCCAAGAACTACAGAATCATGAACTTTGTACCTATTATGTTGCTAACAAGATCAGAACTACAAAAGGAAAGCCTTCTATATAACAGGCCTTTCTAACATCCTAATAAAATATTACTTAAAGAATAAATCTATAAAAACCAGAGAAATATGAATATGAACAATCAAGAAGAAGAAACCTATATATAAAAATCATTATATTCCCATTCATACTACACAGTTGCACATGGGAAATAATGGGCTTTTCTGTATTCTCATTTTCTTCTCTTGTGGGGTCCTGTTTCTTCAGGATCTTTCTTCTGTTCCATGTGTGCTTTGCTCCCTCTGCTGGTCAACCTGGTATTACACCAGTGTATGTCCAGCATAAAAACCTGCCGTTTAAATCTGCAGGGATACATGCCGGACACAAACCAGAGTAATATTGAACCGACCACTAGAGGGAGCAAAACAGGGGGGGAAAGCCCTGAAGAAACGAAATCTTACAAGCGAGGAAAATGAAAATGCCGAAAAGCCCAATGTGAGCCTCCCAACCTAAGTAATAGCAAAATGATGGGGGGAAGAAATGCCTTGAATGCATGTCATGCTTGAAAGTGCCCAGCCTGCTGGTTAAGAACTGCCTCGTAAGCCCAGCTCTCGATGCCCCTTTCTTTAGAGGTGAGGCAAATGGTGACTAGAGACAGGGCTTTTTCTGTGGTGGCACCTCACTGTTAGAACACCTTTCTCTTGAGGCTCATGTGGCACCTGTCCTACTCTCCTTTAGGCACCTACCTGAAGCTTCCCCCCCCGGTTCCTAATTAAGGGGTGGTTCTTTTAACTGTGCGTTGTTGGGTTTTTTTTGCAAAAATAATTTTTTATTACAGATTCATATTACATTCTCATGTCTTGCATCTCACCATGCACCACACGTTCATATTAACGCCTCATTAATATACAAAATAATCTTACAAAGCAGAAAAATATGATCAGATACAATCCAGAATTCAGTCACCCTCAACTGAAAACAAAGCCTACTATCAAAACTGGTGCTTATGAAGAAACTTTACTTAGAAGAAACCGTACGTACTAGAACCCCTACTTAGATATACCTTAGGACAGTGATGGCGAACCTTTTAGAGACCGAGTGCCCAAACTGTGACCCAAAACCCACTTATTTGTCGCGAAGTGCCAACACAGCAATTTAACCTGAATACTGAGGTTTTACTTTAGAAAAAACAACTCATACATTAACTTAAGATGATCCAAACAAAGTAAGGAACGCAATCCCAAATGCTTTCATTTACTTAAAATTATTTGGCAGAGAATTCGACACTTTAATGATGGTCTGGGCCTGGCTGGGGCGATGGCACGCGTGCCCACAGAGAGAGTTCTGAGTGCCGCCTCTGGCACCCGTTTCATAGGTTCGCCACCACTGCCTTAGGACAGCTTCTTTAGTCTGCTGTTTGGATTTATATCTCTTCCAGTGATTTTAACTGTGTTTTTATGGTCTGCCTCTAGCCTGTGAATGAATTTTGTGAAACTCTTCTTAAGCTGCTCAGTGTTTTATGCTGTTTTGTAGCTGGGTTCTAATAGTTTATTAAGTGTTCACTTCACTTTTATGGTGTGTTATGTTTTACTTTGTCTGCTGCCTCAGTCAGGGTCTCTGATGTGGTGGCATGGAAATTTTCTAAATAACTAGATCCGAGGTGTCGAACTCATTTGTTACAAGGGCCGGATCTGGTATAAATGTCATTTTGCTGGGCTAAAATGTAAGGGCAGGTACCGGAGACATAAACTTTATAAAGGAGATGGACAAACCCAATTAACAGTATTATTATTTTTTTTACTCAAAATACAACCATGCTTAAAACATTAACACTCTTAATAGTATTTCCTTAAAGTGTCTCCCTGATGCCCGCCCTCCCACTTCCACCACCCATTCCTCATAGAATCATAGAGTTGGAAAAGACCTCCAGGGTCATCTAGTCCGACCACCTGCACAATGCAGGAAATTCACAAATATCTCCCCCCCACACACCCCCGTGACCACTGCTCCATGCCCAGAAGATTACAAGATCATTAGATCATTAGCACTGGGAGAGTATACAGGGACATAGTGCACTGCCTCTGTCATCTGGCAATTAAAGTAATGATCAGTTGCTCGCGGGCCGGATAAGAGCCATGGATGGGCCGGTTCTGGCCCGTGGGCCATATCTTTGACACCCCTGAGCTAGATACACAAAGTTGGTGAGGATGAGCGATCTAGGAACTCTTGAAAACTAGGATTGGCTATTTGCTTTTGGGGTGGAGATGCTTTACTAACAAAGTGAGTGAGCACCAGAAACCCATTGGTGGAATCCACTAGAGTAGATCATGCTGAGTTGGATGGGCGAACGGTCTGACTCGAGATAACAGTAGCACCTTAAAGAGTAACAAAATTTGTGGCAGGGTATGAGCTTTTGTGAGTCACAGCTCACTTCTTCAGGTACTTCAGAAGTGACTCATGAAAGGTCATCCCCTGCCACAAATTGTCTTAGTCTTTAAAGTGCTACTGGACTCTCGCCCTTTTCTACTGCTACAGACAGACCAACACGGTTACCGATCTTGACTTGAGATAAATCAGCTTCATATCTTTGGCTTTCAAACATCTTTACGATGCTTTCTTTGCCCTTCATCCAGAAGCCTCAATGAACTGCGTGCTTTGCTCTTGGAAGCCAACAGACATTCACCGGGGCCCGAGCGGGACTTGAGCCGTGAAGTACATAAAGCCGAATGGAGGCTGAAGGAGCAGAAGCTCAAAGATGACATCAAAGGCCTGAGGGAGAAGCTGATTATTCTGGTAAGTTCCGGACCGGTAAGGGATACAGACACTGTTCCCTCTAAGCTGAGTTAGTGTGAGCTAGCTCATGGTTTTTTAGCCTCCAGCTCACACATTTTTGTCTTAGCTCAGGAAAGAGGGCTCCAGAGCAAACTAATCGATGCAGTAGCCAAATCGCTCGCTCACAACTTTAGTGCCGGTAGCTCACAAAGTAGAATTCTTGCTCACAAGGCTCCGCAGCTTAGAGGGAACATTGGATACAGAGTGTCTTGGCATGCATAAAGGTTAAGGTTCCCTCGCTTGAAAGCCAGTCGAGTCCGACTCTAGGGTTGCGGTGCTCATCTCCGTTTCAAAGCCGAAGAGCCAGCACTGTCCGAAGACGTTTCCGTGGTCATGTGGCCGGCATGACTAAATGCCAAGGCGCACGGAACGCTGTTACCTTCCCACCGAAGTGGTACCTATTTATCTACTTGCAATTTCTTGCTTTCGAACTGCTAGGTTGGCAGGAGCTGGAACTAGAGATGGGAGCTCACTCCGTCATGCGGCACACTCGGGTCTCGAACTGCTGAACTACCAACCTTCCACAGCCTGCAGTTCAGCGTCTTAACCACTTGAGCCACTGCAGCTCCTTTGCATGCATTGTTGTTGTTGTTCAGTCGCACAGTCGAGTCCGACTCTTCGCGACCCCATGGATCATCTCCCGCCAGGCCCTCCTGTCTTCCGCCGTCCTCTGAAGTTGGCTCAATTTCATGCATGCATACCACGGTGCTAAACGTTAGAGATTGGGATTGAACAGCCACTGTAAAGTCAACACAGCTGATACCTTTTTTGCTGGTCCAGAATGTGGCGGCGCAAGTCCTGACAGGAACGTCATGGATGGCACATATCCATCCAGTGCTGTGCCAGCTACACTGGCTCCCAGTGGAATACTGAGTCAAGTTCGAGGTTTTGGTATTGACCTATAAGGCCTTGAGCGGTCAGGGACCGACATATCTACGGGACCGTCTCCTCCGTTATTTCCACAGGAGAGCTTTGCACTCCTTCGACAGCAATCTACTGGTGATCCCTGACCCCAAAGATGTCTGGCTGTCCTTGACCGAAAAGGCCCTGACCCCAACCTGGTGGAACTCTCTGCCAAATTCCACCAGGGCCCTGCGGGATCTGAGGCAATTCCGCCGGGCCTGCAAGGCAGAGATGTTCTGCCAGGCACTGCCTGCTTTACCAATAACTTGGGTTGCCAGGTCCTACCTTGTTGCCAGCAGGGGGATTTATGGGGCATTTCTGGAGGGGGTGTGATGTCATCGCACCAGCGACATTGCGTGATGACACTCTGGTCTGGGGGCAAAACTCTATAGTTTGAGGGCAAATTTACCATAGAGTTTTGCCCTCAAACCAGAGCATCTCCGTGACCTCGCTGACATGATGATGTCACTTCCGGGTGACGTCATAGTGTCGGGGATGTCATGTGGGGATGTGGCTGTTTGATGGCAGGGTTTCCCCCGCTGGCCAGTTGGCCGGCGGCAGGCAGAAGCCCCAAAAACTGGGGCAACCCCTGCTGGGGCCTGGGGACTGGTAACCCTGCCCATAACTGCCTGGTAGCTCTATCAATAGCAGGGGAAAGTCACTCCAGGGTGGAGATACAGAAATGCTACCAGACTGCTGCTGCTTCAGGTGGGAAAAGGGTTAAACCCTAGCGTATCCATAACAGGGAGCAGAAGTGGGCAACAGCTAGGCTGTCAGGATCTTTAGGCCCTGGAGAAACCAGAGCCTCTCCCCCAATAGATTACTACAAGAAGCAGGGACCCGCGATACTCGTGGGGGGGGGGAGAAGGAGCTCCGCGTGGAGGAGGAGGAGGAAGCAGCCGCAGGTGAGCCTTCTCCCCCGCCCCCCTGCGCACTGAAAGCGAGGCCTGGGCCCACGAATTCTTCTCCCCCCAACCCCCCCGGCACCGACGGCGAGGCCCGGGCCCCCCAATCCTTCTCCCCCCCCCAGCACCGATGGCAAGGCCCGCGTGGCTCCCAGCCACCAGGCCCGTCAATCCTTCTCCCCCACCCCCTGCACTGGTGGCGAGCTGTGCGAGCCTGCCGAGCCTTCTCCCGCTCCCCCCGGGCACCGGCAGCGAGGCCTGAGCGGCTCTTAGCCACCGGGCCCGCCAAGCCTCCCCCCAACAGCCAGGGCGTTCTCTCCGCATGCGCAGGGAATGCTTTTACTTTTGGGTTGATTTAAGTATCCCCCGTATATTTTATTCAACTTTTTAGATTTTTCTGCACACCTGGGGGCTGCTCCAAGTGTGCAGGAAATACTCTCTGCCCCCCAAGTGCCCCTGATGTGTGGCTTTAGATATCCGCACAGAGGGGGCAACTTGGCTGTTAGATATATAGATGCCCGTGTCGTGTAATGGATACAGTGTTGGACTAGGATCCTGGGAGACCCGGGTTCAAATTCGCCCTCCCGCCATGGATAGTGGCTAGGTGACCTCGGACCGGTCCCAGACTCTCAGCCTGACCTGCCTCATTGGTGGCTGCTGTGTTAAAATGGAGGAGAAGAGGATGTGCTCTGAGGCCCCCAGCCAGCGAGAAAAGCAGGATATGAAGAAGTAAAAGCATGCCTACCTACGGCAGGGGCATGACCACTTACTGGGTCCAAGGCAGAGGCAAGATCCAGACCATAGACCTCCCAGTTCTGAGACTCTTTCTGTGAACAGATGGGTCCTTAAGATCACAAAACCCAACAAAGTCTAATTTCATAGAAAAATGGTACCCAGTGCTGGATTATCTGTCTCAAAAACAATTTATCTCATCTGATTGGTCTCAATACCACAAATGGATATAAGATTAACGGAATGACTAGTTCCACAAAATCTCATACTTACTTCTTTCTTATCCACTAGCTCTAATATTTCACATCAAATCTTCTAAATGGTCAAATGGTATGTAGTAATTGTTATTGTACGTTGATAAAAGAAGTTTCCTTTTCTTTCTTCTCTTCCTTACCGCTCTAATAGTTCAGATTGCTTCCTAATGTTTCTATTAAGCTTACGCCAAGTCTGTTTATCTCTATACTGAAAACATCGATTCGGAAGTATGATGAGTAATGTATTGTAATTCTTTTTAACATGTTATAACGTTGTACATACTCAGGAACTATTTACAGGATGTGAATGTAATTGGAAGATTAATTGTTCACTGTTTGAAATGTTAGAACTGTTAAAAATTGTAAATAAAATTAAAAAAAGATCTCCTCCCTTTGCCACAGGATAAAGAGAAATCGGTAACAGATCAGAGGCGGTACTCTCTGATAGACCCCTCATCCGAGTCAGAGGTTCTCCGGTTGCAACATCGGCTGGTCAGCACTGAGGACGTCCTGCGAAACGCCTTGGAGCAGGGCCAGCAGATGGAGAAGCTGATGGAGGCGATGAGGACCTCTCCTGAAAAAACACAGGTAGGTCGCAAGGAGCCTCCCTCTCTGTAGCTGCTTCAGCAGCGGAAGAGCATCTGCTTTACACGCAAAAGGTCGTGGGTTCAATCCCTGTCATCTCCAGTGATAGGGTGTGAAAGACCCCGGGGACCAGTCAATAGTAGACAGTACTGACCTTGACAGGCTAATGGCCTGATTTCTATTCATGAAAAGAGGGGGCCGCACCAAGGCAAAACGAAGATTAAAAAGTCAAATAATGCAAAGGAATCTTTAGTGATTGTATATCCCCTGACTCAGCTCATGTGGACATACGGGAGCAGAACTAAAAGGATCTGAAAGGATTCCCCCTGACGAAGCTGCACGCGAACCACGTATGGGCTATGCAATCATTACAGATTCTTTCTTTTGCACTATTTGTCTTTTTATCTTTGTTCTGATTCAGTTTAAGGAAGCCAGGAATGGGCCGTTGCGCCAATGGTAGAGCATCTGATTTGCATGAAGAAGGTTTGTGGTCTGGTGCCCGGCATCTCCAGTTTAAAAGGATATCATCTAGGTCAGGGGTTCGCAGGGGTCATTTCCTGCAGGAGTGCACAGGAGCGGAGCTCTGGCAGTAAAGAGCCCAGGGGGCGGGCACATGCAACAAGCCCTACCCCCTGCTCCCAGCAGCCCTCAGTCAGAGCAAGAAGCAGCCAGGTAAATTGCGGAGCCCCCCCCCAAGCCTCCAGGTCCAAAACAGTCCAGTGGCACCTTTAAGACCAAGTTTTATTCCGGTACAAGCTCTCCCACCTCTGCGAGGACAGATCTGCACGTATTGTAATTAACATATGTAGATCAAATGTAGTTTTATATTTAAATATTTTATATATATTATTGGTACCCTTTTGTATTGTTTGTAATTGGGCTGGTGATATACCGAATAAACTGAACTGATGTATCCCACGATGTCAAGGGGTGTGGCATATGCAAATAAATTATGCTAATGAGTTATGCTAATGAACTCCTGCACCTCTTTTTCTGTGAAATGACCCCTGGGGTCCGCAACATGTTGCCAAAGGGCACCGTGGTGCCAACGTCTTTTCTGGAGCCTTCCAAGTGGGCTTGTGCCCACCAGGGCTTCTGATTGGCCAGCGGACACAGCCTGAGCAGATTTTTTTTTTTAATAGCTGCTTCAGCAGCAGCTGCCACTACAGCACAGGGATCTTCGCTGTATGATGGAAAGTGAGCTTTGCGTATACAAGGAAATGCCTTTAAAATAATATTTCTTTCAAGAGGGCTTCCTGTTAAACAGAGCTTCTGCCCGAAACACTGAAGTGTTGTGACCAGAGTTGTGCATGGCCTCACCCCCTGACGTCGTGTGGTTGGCTCCGCCTCCTGCAGCAGCCATGTTGTAGTTATGCCGCCACCCAGTGTCAGAATCCCAGAGGTGTCTGCAGGCTCAGAAACGTTGGGGACCCCTGGTCTAGGGGGGTTGCCACCAGTGTTCCCTCTAAGCTGTGGAGTCTTGTGAGCAAAAATTCTACTTTGTGTGCTACTCGCATTAAAGTTGTGAGCGAGCGATTTGGCTGCTGCATACATTAGTCTGCTCTGGAGCCCTCCTTCCTGAGCCTAGACAAAAATGTGTGAGCTGGAGGCTAACAAAACTGTGAGCCAGCTCACACTAACTCAGCTTAGAGGGAACACTGGACTTGCCACTCTTGTGCAGGGGTTGTGTTTTGCCTTAAGAGGGAGACACCGGATGGTACTGGAGAGAGGACAGTAGATGACGAAGAGGAAGCCAGATGTGAGGAAGTTAGTGAGCTGAAGAGCACAGACCACGGAGGCTGAGAGTTCATCCCTAAGCAGCCTGGCAGGCACTGGAAAGACCCTGGCATGCTCTTGAGATGTTTCCTCCCTGTCCCTTAGCAGTGCGGAAAATGTGGTGTGTGTATCAGGTTCGAACTTCATGGGCCACTGGGAATCTGCACAGAGGTCCCCAGATGTGTTTTGGGTTGCCAGAAAGCAGGCCTCAGAGCGGATCTGAATCAAGACCGCAGTGCTAGAAAAGGATGTGCGCGCGTGTGTGTTAACTCTTCCATCCTTTGCCCTTCCTCTAACCAGCAATGCCCTCTAACTGCTTTGGTTAGGAGCGCGGACTCTAAACTGGGAGAACCGGGTTTGATTCCCCACTCCTCCACATGCAGCTGCTGGTGTGACCTTGGGCCAGTCACAGTTCTGTCAGAGCTGTTCTCTCACGAGCAGTTCTCTCAGAGCTCTCTCAGCCCCACCTACCTCACAGGGTGTCTGTCGTGGGGAGATTGTAAGCTGCTCTGAGACTCCGAGTGAAGGGCGGGATGGAAATCCAATCTTCTCCTTCTCTTCCTCCTCCTCCCCACCAGGGCGGGGGGGGGAATTACATACATCTGTATTGTGTCTGTTTCCCACCCCCAGGCCTTTAAGCAGTGGTGGTTGGAGAGGCACATGTCTGATTTGAGCAAGCAGTTAGGGTTGCCACCTGCCAGGCGGGGCCTGGAGATCTCCCATCATTCCAGCTGATCTCCAGATGACAGAGATTGGAAAAAATGGCTGCTCTGTGGCTCTGTACCCTTCTGAAGTCCCTCCCCTTCCCAAATCAGTCATGCACCGTTCCTTTTGGGAGATGATTTCAGTCATGCCTCGAATTCAAATGGCAGCGCTTTAAAATATATATACATGAGATGCTGCATCTTTCTTAATGCTCGTGCCTCGGTGGTCTGATGTTTTAATGGTGCTGTGCTCTGCTTCTCATGAGTCATCGGGTGGTTGTGTAATGTGGGTGCATAGCTCAACCAAGACCAACCAAGGCCGCGGTCACACGGACCTCTTACCGCGCTAGTTTTCCCGCAGTTCTTCTATCCGCGACATTTTATATCGCTTGGAGGTGGTCAGACGGTCCCTCTGTCTTCCGCTTCACTCACGCGAAGTACTGATCACACAGCGCGCCGTCCCCGTGGTGGCGCGGGTTTAAAAAAAACCGCACAAACCTGCGCATGCGCTTGGGTATACATACAAACTAAGAAGACTAAAATAAAAGCTAGCGCCTGTTTGCACATGCACATAACTTAAACCGGAAACACAAAAAAGGGAGGGAGGGTAGCGCAGTCATGCCGGATTGCTGTCTAGATGCCAAAACCGCGGATACAAAGCGCGAGAGATCGGAAAACACCTGTTCCAACGAGTGTCAGAAAACGCGGATAAAAAGAGCGGAAACCGCAGGACTCAGCCCGCTTCGGTGCGGGAGGCGGGTTTGCCAATATGAACAGGAAATTTTAATGTGCAAGGGATCAGCAGCGAAGCCCGCACTAAATGTCCGTGTGACCTGACCCCAAGTGATTTTCCTCCTCTTTGTTTTAGACGATTGGAAATTCTGGCTCCGCGAATGGGATCCATCAACAGGATAAATCTCACAAGCAGGAGGTTGGTGATGGTGCATCTGGCATGCATGTCTGTCTCGTTTGCCCTGGCTAGATTTACTCCTGATGCCAAGGCTGGCGTGGTGTCTTTTTTGGACTAGGATCAGGGTTCGAATCCCTATCTGACATAGAAGCTCGCTGGGTGACCTTAAGCTGGTGATTCTCTTGCTACCTCGTGGAAATGGGGGCTCCCCACCCAAGCAGGCTCCAACACTCCCCCAGGCCACCTCTCCAGTGGGGATTGCAAAGGGGTTCCCACGTTAGTCTGTTGTGGCATAATTACGACAAAATTCCAGGGGAACCTTGAAGACTAACAACATTTCCGCAGTGTGAGCTTTGGTGGGTCACCATTCACTTCCTGTGCCCCCTTCTCTTGGGCTCTTTTGAAGGTTCAGGATGGACAGAAAGTAGTGCTACTTTGCACAGAGAGTAATTAAAACATGGAATTCGCTGCCAGTGAATGTAGCGACAGCCACAGGAATAAACAGCTTTAAAAGGGGATGAAATAGATTCACGGATAAGTCTATCAGTGGCTTCTACCCATGGTGACTGAGGGGAACCCCCATGTTCAGAGGCACTAATCCTCTGAATCCCAGAGCCAGGAGGCAACATCAGGGGAAGGCCTCGGTCTCTACGCCCTATTGTTGGTTCCCCAGAGGAACTGACTGGCCACTGTGTGAGACAGGATGCTGGACTAGATGGACCACTGGTCTGATCCAGCAGGACTCTTCCGGTGTTGTTACACTCTTAACTGTGAGCAGTTGCACCCACCTGAAAACAGGTGTAGCATCAATACTGTGTGGCAGTTCCCTTCTGCTTGTCAAAAAATAAAATAAACGCTGCGATGATCAGCAGGTGGATCAGGATGAGATTGATGGAGTTTTTCTCCAAATTGAGCAGGGAACCAAGGTGCACATGTGTTGCTCTAGTCTTTTTATCCCCCTACCCGTTCCCACATTCTGCATCCAGACCCAGCTCCAAACCTCCAAACCATCTCTCATTGGTGGTAGCTAAGTCAGTATGTGAAGGCACTCTGGCACCTTCTTCTAAGGAACTTCATATTCCGCTTTCTGTGTGTCATTAGGGGAAGGGCTGTAGCCCAGTGGTGCAGCATTTGCTCTGCCTGCAGAAGATCCCAAATTCAATCCATGATATCTCCAGATTAAAAGGTTGAGTCTTGCCTGAGACCCAGGCCAACTGCTGCCAGTTAGAGCAGGCCCAGGGGTCATTTCCTGCAGGAGCACACAGGAGCAGAGCTCCGGCAGTAAAGAGCCCAGGGGGCGGACACATGCAACCAGCCCTGCCCCCTGCTCCCAGCAGCCCTCAGTCAAAGCAGGAAGCAGCCAGATAAATTGTCGAGCCCCCCCGGCCCCCGGGTCCAAAACAGTCCAATGGCACCTTTAAGACCAAGTTTTATTCAGGTACAAGCTCTCCCTCCTCTGCGAGGACAGATCTGCACGTTTCCCCCCCCCAATAGCTAGGAATCCAAAACAGTCCAGTGGAGCCTGAGCGGTGGGTGTTGCCTTCTGACACACATCCGGTGATGTCAGGGGGTGTGGCATATGCAAATAAATTATGCTAACGAGTTATGCTAATGAGCTCCTGCACCTCTTTTTCTACGAAATGACCCCTGAGCTGCAGGCCTCATTAATCTTGATAGATCAAAGGTCTGACTCAATGGAAAGAAGCTTTGTGTATATTCTCCTCAGTTCCCAAGAGAGCTCTCGCAGCCCCACCTACCTCACAGGGTGCCTGTTGTGGGGAGGGGAAGGAAAAGGAGATTTGTCAGCCGCTCTGAGACGCCTTCAGGTAGTGAAGGACGGGGTATAAATCCAATCTCTTCTTCTTCTCTCCTTTTTCTGTAGGAGAAGCACTGATGAAAGAGAAGAGGTGGAGAGGACTGTGCCACGCTAGGATCTGCTCCTGGAAACGGGCCGGACAAGAGATGCCCTTCCCATTCCCAGCTTTAGCGCCACCCGAAGGCCATTTGCCAGTGTTTCCACTCTAAGAGCACAACTGCGTTTCGAGCAAACATTCGTGGATGTCAACAGGGCCGTCTCTCCCCCCCCCCCCCCGCGGTTCAGATTTTGAAAGGTGGGTCTCATTGCAGAAGAAGCGCTACAGCAGTTGTGTCTCCATTTCAATTTCTCCTCCAGTATTGCCTTGAGCTTTCAGCAGCATTCAGCGACAATGGTGGTAGTGTTGGGTCAACGTCGCCTGTTCACACGGACGCCTCGCAACATCAGCCAGTGGGGAGGCGCCTGATCCCGGTGGCCTGTTGGAAATATCGGTGGCTTCTCAGCTGATCCCTGAGACGCTTGAGTATCTAAGGACTGGCATGTGGCGTTTAACTCCTCCCTCAGCATCCGCCTTCTGGAAGCTCTCCCTTTCCTCTCTATGCTTGTTGGTGCCACAGAGACCTTTGGTGCGGAACGGATGACTGCATAAGCCCCCGCTGCATTCCTAGATGCCCTGTGGACATTTTCCAGAGGAAAAAAGAGTCTCAAGACTTCTGAATGTGTGGATTCTTTTTAGTTCTAATCATATAATGTGTGACTACAGATTTTCAGGTGGACCTTTCTCTAACTTATTTTAACTTAACTTAGTAACTGTTGAGTCTTTGGTTATTTTTGGAGTTTACAGAATGGCAGTGGATTCTCTCTTGTTGACGCCGGTAAAGAGACTCCCCTTGGTCTCATCTGAAATCTCTCGAACTCATCCATACCAAGGTCTAAAGCTAAAGCAGAGATGTATGTTGTCTTGTTATGATGGAGTTGTATGCCTAGCAAAGTTCTGAAGGTGTTTGGGATCTTCTTTCTTTGTGATTTTTCAGTGAATTCACCAAGTCTGAAGTGCCCTCATATTTTCTAATGCCGAGATTGATCTCCAAATAAGAAAGAACATTTGATTTTCTAGCATACCATTGGTGGGTTTGAGTGTGTGTTTTTCTTCCCATTACAGGTACACAGATTGAAGAGAGGCATGGTTTGGGTGTGCGTGTGTCCAAAAATGCTTGTGTTTCCTGAAATGGAGGTTAACCTCCAAAGGCTTTTCCACATTGGGTTTTTGACACAGCTTGACTTTTTAGCCGCATTGGGTTTTCACCTCCCTTACAGACAGTATTGTTTGGTGGTGGTTGCTCTCTCCCCCCGCCCCAAGTTTTCCTAAAAAAACTCAAATTAATAATAAGAGAGCAGTTACCAGCAAAAGATATTGTCTGTGAGGGTGAAGAAAAGCCAGTGCGGTTAAGCCAAGCAGCGACAAAAGCCTGGTGTGGGAAAACCTAGGTACTGGGAATGGTTAATCAATGAAGCGGCGCTGAGTGGAGAGTGAAGTCTTTGAGAAGAGACCTCTGAGGTAAAGTCTCTCTGTTTAGTAATCATGGCTGGGACCAAGCTTGAATTAGTTCTTGGTGGATATTTGCGCCCCCCCTGTTGGTACTACAGGCTCCTGGCAGCTTAAGTTTGATGTTTTTCATACCCTAAGTGAAATCTGGCAGAGGAACAGCGTACTGAGATAACGGTTAACGATACTGCTATTGAGGTTTGAGACTAAAATATCTCTTATGGGGATGGTCAATTCCACGATGGCTCGTCCGTCTAATTTAAGGACCAGTCATATAAGTGAACGCGTCATGGCCGTGTTTTTTCGCATCGAGAACCTGCGATATCGGCAAGTAATCATTACGAGACTTTCCCACCATAGTGAAATAGATAGGGCTATCCACAAATATAGGATTAGATTTATAAGGCAGACTTAAACGCCCAAACGTAAAATCAAATTTATTAGGACGAATATATATAATAAAATAAAGTGCATTAATCAATAGCAGGCTAAAATTAATTAAAAATTAATTTAAAATAAGCAATTAAAATAGTGCTGCTATAAAACACACCCTCACAACATCACGCAGACCCTACCCAACGCCATTTCCATCCGAGACCTCTGGACTAAAATTCATAAATGCATGAATAATGTCAACAGAGTATAATAACACTCTCCTTGCGGTTAATTTAGCCATCTGTCTCTGCCATGATTTAGAAAGTCCCATTGGTTTCAGTAATTCAAAATTCTCTTCAATCCATTTTCCTCTAGCTCCTATCGGAAAGCCAACGGACTTAACACCAGTAACGTCCATTCTTTCCTTAATCGAACTCTCCAGTTCTTTATAATAGTCCACTTTCTCCTGGGCAGCTTCCTGCAATCCAGAACGATGATATTTGAACCTTACTGTCGCGTCCGCCACAATAGCCATACCACCTTTCACAAATATTAAATCTGGTTTCCTTAGAGCACCTTGCCGATTCCTAAAATGGGGTTCATGGTAAACCTTCCAGCTCTTGATCTTTGCTTCTCCAACCAAGATATCACAAATCTTATTACGTCTCAAAACATGGAGTCCCTGAACTACCGGACATTGTCCCAATATGTGTGACACTGAGTCATACTTCGCCTGACATTGTCTACACGATCTCGGAGCATCAGACCTACCTCTACCTAAGAACTTTCCAGTAGGAATTACATTCGCACGCAACTGTAACACAGTAATAAAATGCCGTTCTGCAAAAACCAAATTTTTCTCTAATCCAGGCATTACTGATCATATCATTCTGAAATAACAAAGCACTGCTACCTTGACAAATTAAGGAACACCATCTCTCCATTTCAGGATCTCTGTAATCCACTGGTACAGGGCAACCCACTTTCCGAGTCACACCTTCTCTCAATTTCTTCTCACCTCTATCAACATAATCGCTAAGGATAGGAACTTCTTCTTCTATACCACCTAACTCGAGCCATCATTTCCTAAATCTAGCCCAAACATTACCATAAATACACATCTTCCTAATTACCCAATCTGCTGACTGCGACACTAAATAACCTTTCCAGTTGAATTAAAGGAACCAATTTTTCAAGTTGACACAAACCAAGTCCACCATCTCGAGCCCTAACATATACCAAACTATTAGTCGTTCACACAGGTAAATGCAACCATTCCTTAATCCTAGCACGAATCATATCATCAACAAGTTTAAGCTTACTAACAGTCACATCTGTATGATCAGCAATATAAATCACTCTAGGTATAAGATATGACTTAACTAACTCCACACGCTGTGTTGGTTTCAAAGGAGCCTTGCTGATATTATCTAAGTACATTTTGACCTTCTCCATTGAAGCAATCTTTCCAATTCCTTTCCAAGGATCCAAACGAATACCTAGATATCCAATTACATCACCAGGCGTGACCATTGGAAGATCTTCACCCGCAATAGTCTGGCTCTTACAAGCGTTCGCCGCATACGATCCCTGCCACGGATTTAACATCATACCAGCACACTTCTTAACTTGCAATTTCAAACCGGTCAAATCACAGAATGCCCTGATAACATCTAGTCTATTGCTCATCGCCTCCCATCCCAAAATCATTTGCGAAGGCTAAAACAGACAAACCGACACCATCCAACGTATATCCATCCTCCATCCTAGCAAGTTCATTAATCAGGGGATCCATAGCAATATTATATAACAATGGAGACAACGGATCGCCCCGTTTGCCTCCATTTCTCAACCTAATCAGAGGGATAACGCCTTCCTTCACCTCAAAGCGAGTACCAGCTCCAGATAACAAACTCTCTATCAATTGTATCAAATGCCTTTCTGACCTCTGTCCCGCAATACAGACTTAATATGCTCATGTGACACTGAATCAAAAGCCTTAACAATATCCACAAACACAACCCCCATTTTTGCCATGTCCAAAGATAGGGGAGGAAAGCAGGAAGGTAGATGGCTGTAGGATCAGAGGAGTGGAAGCTTATCCTGCAGTTTGAGTCAAGGCCAGTCTAATGATGCAGGTGACAGGAAAGAAGGGTTCCTAGCCATTTAACCAAAAGTTCCTGTCCAAGGTTAGTGCATTGCTACCCATTCCGATGGGCTTAACCTTTCTACCCCTACACAGTGTTGTCAGTTGAAAGCGACCATCCTTGCCTCGGTTCTTCTATTGTATTCAGAGGGCTTTTCTGCATACTCATTTCCCTTGCTTGTGTGTTCGTGTTGCTTTGGGGGGGGGTCTGCATGTGTCTTGCTCCCTCTAGTGGTTGATTTGATACTACATCGCTTTATGCCCAGCAACAAAAACTACCATTTCAATCTGCAGGGGGGATATGTCAGACATAAAACAACATCATATTGAGTCGACTACCAGAGGGAACAAAACGCAGGTGAAACAGAAACACGCAAGCAAGGGGAAATGAGAATGCAGGAAAGCCCTGAGCTAGGAACAGTCAGCATGAGGGTCAGTTTTGCCTGGCAAAGTCATGTGAGGTTGGAATCCTTTCTCCCACCTGGCATTGCAGGGCTAACTCCATTTTTATGCCTGCTTTTGGTATTGTGTGGAAGTGTGCCTATATCCCTGATCCAGCTTCACTCCCTGTCATACAATTACATTGAGTTCTAATTGGCTTGCGGATTTGCTGGCATCTTTCTAGAATACACTCCCTGTCTTGCCTCGCATTCTGGATCTGCGACATTTTGATGCTCCTGATGAGAAAGATTGATGTGAAAAAGAGAAGGGAGCTTTCCTCAGCTGATGTAAGATCTGGGGCTCTCATTCTCTATAGAATACAGTTTGAAGCATATCTGCAGTATGGGGGGGTGGGGAGAGAAGCCAGCTATGTGTCCTTTTGTATATCCTGGCCACCCACCAAATTCCTCCCATGCCTTTGCACAGCCTGACGTATAAGCTAGGGAAAGATCTGTGCCATTATATATATATATGATGCCTTGTTCCTAGTACAGTAACCAAGATTGGACCTTTTCAATCTCCCCTCCCTTCCAAGGTTTTGATCAGCAAGAAACAAAACTGACTGTTGGGATATAGCAGTATCAGCTGACGAATGGACAGAAAACGCTACAAATGGATTCTGGTTCTCTCTGATTCTCCCACTGTTACACTCATCATTTACCTAAACCTTGTGTATTTGGGAAGAAAAAGTGTGGAGGGACTACATCTCCCGGGCAGTGTTCCCAATCACTTCCCATTCCCCCCACAACACCCCTGATATTCCTGGTAAGACACAACTACTGTTCCCGTTGATTGATCCTTGCAAGTGCTCTTTCCGGAGCTGGTTAGGAACTGAACCGCCATGAAGACAAACCCTTAACAAGTGGGCTAAACAAAGTGTCCTGCCCTAGAATCATAATTCGAAAGTTTTTCATACACAGATGGCAGTCCATCTACCCATCTCGGGTGAACCATACCCTCTTCACCAGCAGGAACAGGTGATACCCTAAATAAAGTTGGTAGATGTGGGGGAGAAGGGCTGTGATTTCCCTCCCACACACATTGTGCTGTTTGGGGCTGAGAGAAAGAGCACTTGGTGTTGTTGGGATCCAGATCTCTCCATGCGGCCAAATATTTGGGTGACCGAATTGCTGGGGTGAAGAGAAGTTTACGAAAAACTTTTGACTGCAGGGTGCGATCTCCCTGAAGATCAAGATCAAGCTGGCAATACAAAAGGCCAGAAATTAGACCACAAGTTTTGTTATTAATATTATTCTTTACGA